CCCCGCCAGAGAATGACAGCTCGTTCGGTGCCGAGCCCTAACAGCACCGCGGCGCCCTGTCCGGGGAGCAGCCCCGTGGAGGGCTCCCCGATTCGATTCTTCGCGTCGAGGACGGCTGTTTTTGGCGAAAGGCCGAAGGAGCAAATCCACGGCCCTGCAGTAACCTCGAGAGGGTCTCCCCATAACCACCGCCGAAACACCAAGCCGTCACTTCACCCAGAAGCCCCCTTTAGGGCTGCTTTCAAACGAGAGCGATGCCGCGAACCCCGACACCGGCAACTGCGCTTAAGGCCTTTCCTGCAAGCAGGCGCTGGCCAGTCCCGGGAGCGTCGGCTTCAGAGGCCTGAAGGGGCTCAGCTGCCCAGATGTGGACCTGGGCGTGGTGGGAGTAAGGTTAAGGGCCCAACGGTTATCCGAGCCCACCTGCCCCGGTCGCTGCTTTCCACAGAGGGCAGCATTTGGACGGACAGCTTGACTTCCCCTCCCCTGCCTGCCCGGTAGCTGTTTATTTGGGCAAGGCAGGGTAACACCTTGCCGTGCGTGCCTACCTGGGAGGAATCCAGCCTAGCACGCGTGTTCAAGGCCTGCAGCTGGTGACACTCCTGTGTCCCGCCGCTGCCTCTCCCTTACGCTCCGCTCCCTGACCGCTGCCAGATTCTCCCCTCCATCTGCGTCAGCCTGATCTTTGTACCCCTGCCTTTCGCGTGCTGTGCCAAGCCTTTGCCAGCCGAGCCGAATCAGAGTAGCTATGGGGGAAACACAGCTGCCATCTGTGTAGTACACCCCACTCCAGGGATGTATTTATTTGAGCCTGTTGCCTAATACAGCAGGGGTGGAAAGCTAATTTTCGCCCGTCCCAACCTGCATCAGACACAAGGGAAGAAGAAACCTACTTCTACCGAACTAAAGCAGACTGACTGGCCAGCGACATGCCAGGGACACGCTTTCCTCCTTCAGAGAATGCTCTCAGAGACCAAAAAACTCAAACTGAGAATCTGATTTCAAACTAATTAAAAATTACGCTCTCGTAGCAACATGACTCGAACTCAAGCTGGACCATCAAAACCATCTTAGGAAGTTTTACTTAAGGGCTGATGCCAAAATATGCTGTTTTCTTTGCTCCTCTTGGGCAGGAGATGTTGGCCACTGCCGTGTGATGAGCTAGCCTGCTGTCTTCAATGCCTTCTGCACTATTCACGCCAGCTTTTACACTAAAATTGGATGACCAAGGGCACAGAGCACACGTCCTTGGAGGCAGGGCCTGAAATCCTAACTTTTTTCCTTTCTGGTCCCGTGTGTGACTGGGCCAAACTGGTCTGAGGTGGGAGAGGAAGGCAACGATAGCATGGGTAGAGGAGAGGGGGATTTGGGCTGCTGTCCCTGGGTGTTTGCACGAGCATTGGTGGAGGACATTATTTCAGGATGGAGCATGGATGGATGTGTGTGCGTGTGCGTGTGCATCTGATGGAGACTTCCAAGTGTTTCCACGTGCCTGAACCCTGCTCTCCCTGCTGTGCATCCCTTCCTGCTGTCTGTGTGGGCGTGGCAGGTTCTTGGCTCTTTCTTCTTGGCAAATAAACTGCACCCAGCCAGGCTGCTGGAACGGCCATTGCGCACCCACACCAGCCTTTCTCATGGCTGTGCTCCTGGTTGGTCACGTCCGGAGCTGATGCTGTGGTGGGGATGGTGGCTCACAGACAGCTGGCAGTGGAGAAATTGAACCCGAAGGTGAGAGTGTCCAAGCCGGACCAAGTCAATGCCACCCAGCCGGGATCCACCACTGGAGGAAAAGAGGCATCTCCCTCACTGCGGTTAGCTCAAAAGGAAATCGAGTTAACTTTGTCTGTGGAGGTGTTACGGTGGGACAACCAAGAGCCACCAGAAATGCTTGCAAGGCAGAAGCCGCAAGGCAAAAGCAGCAGCACAATTACCTAGGGTGGAGGGGCAGGAGGGGTGGAAAGGACTGGGGAAAGGGGGAGGGATGGGGATGGGAGAAGGCCATACGGCTTCACGTCCTGACTTTGCAAACCTGGAGAAGCATGAAAGCGAATACTCCTGTCAAACAGCATCCGTGTAGCACAAAGTGAAATATATCCTGCTGGGAAACAAACAACCAAAAGAAAAGAGAGAGAGCAAGAGACGTTCATTTCCTTTGCAACAGAGTCAAAGAATTGTCTTTTATAGGGCCCTGGCCAGAAGAGGCAATTGTGGAAGGAGGCTGGAGGGAAATGAATTGTCAAAGGAGGCACATATCTGGATGATTAAATGTCAATATGTACCTTGAATTAAGGAAAAGGAATTTACACCTCACCTCACTGTGGCAGTGAAAACCAAATTAGAGCCAGGCTGTAAATTTGCCAGCCAATAGACACCAATTTTTTTGGTCTACCTAAATGCTTTTCCTGTCCAGAGAAACGCTGAAGCACAAGTCCCCCTGGGTGGCCAATGGCTGCTGTGGGCAGCTGGTAAGCTGCTGAGCTCAGGACGCCCTCTGGGCTCCTCCAGGCTTTCCTGGTACTGCTCGCCCCGGCTCCTGGCCCCAGTGTGCACACGTGGGGTCCTGGCGTGCTGCGTCACACCACAGGTCTCAGCTACCCGGCAGATGTGCCTGCCTCTCTGCCACCTGGGCTGGAACACAGGCCAGGATTTTCTTATGCTGGAGTTTTCCCAAGAGCTTGATTCTCTCCGTCCTCCTGGTCAGCCGGCTGTACGGCTGCGGATGAACGAAGCACGGAGCTGTATCCCCGCTACTCTTGGCATGTGGCAGAGGTTGCAGCGTGAGGATGCTGCCGCCTTCCCACAGCAGCTCCCAGCGGTTAGCCGGAGGGTTGAGTGATTTGCCCTGGCATGTGCAGGAAGCCTTTGGCAGAAATGAAAGGCAGAATCAAGGTCTTAACAACTTCCAAGTCTGTGCTTACCCACAAAACCCGGCCTTCGTGGAGTGCCGTGGGGTCATTGCTCCCGTTTGCCCTCACAGAGCACCTTACGGGGCTCCTTTCATGGCATCTCTCTTTCTCACAGCTTTCCAGGCTGGGGAAAGCATCCTCCTGTCTGCAAAGGGCAGTGCAGCAGTGAAGGAGTTAAGAGATTCATGTTAATAAATTCAGGCTCTCTTTTCCTCTAGGGCATATTTGCATATTAATGGAGAGGAATTGTAACGAACCTGTCTAGGGAGGCTAAAGGGAAAATTATGCAAGGTTGGCTGAGAAGGTGGAGGAGGGGAAAATGTTCATTTCCAGTGCTTTCCAACCCCTCAGCTGCAAAAGCATGTGAGCAATCCGAGCTCCAGGGCAGCGCCTTGCCGAGTGGGACACCCTGTGAGCAGAGGGAGTACTTGAGTGCAGGTAGCTGTTCGGACCCACCTGCATCCCTCCTGCGCTGGCTTCTCATGGGCCTGCTGAGCTTCACGTTGCCCCAGACACACTTTATTTTAAACCCAGGGCTGCAACAGCAGACTTCAGCAAGCATGTCCCTAATTATCATCCCGTCTTCCAAGGCATCCGGATAAAATGCAGCTCTTGGTGGACTGTCAGCAGAGCAGCTCATTCACAACTCATTTTCAGCACAGGCTCTCTCAGGACTTTTCAGCAGCGCTGTGCTTGGTGCAGGAGGCAATGGAGCCAGGGAAGGGGAGTTGACACATGCTGGGCTGACGCGTGCCTCCCTTTCCCATCCCCGCTCCTTCACACCAGACTGCAAGTAGCTGCAGCACATGCTTGAACCCTGCCACAATCTTTGTTGCCTCAAACTCCAAAGCGCCGCACGCCAGCCCGAAAGCCTCTGACAGCACATGAAAAATGCCAGGAGCTTTGCCAGGTCTGCTTTCTCTGCTCCCAACTCCAGTGAACTGCCCACAGATCTTATCTCAAGAAGGACAAATAACCTGTTGCTTTTGCCATGCAATAGCAGATAGAGTGAGGGTTTATAGTCATAGGGAAATCAGCTATAAATCACTAGATAGGAGACTAATCACTGGGCCCCTGATCTGATCTAGATTAGGAGATGGAAAAAGCAGCCTTTATTCCTGAAAGCAGAGCAGCCCTTCTTCAGAACAGCGATGGGGTGCTCCACGTACCCCAATAGCTGCAGCTGGTTTGTGCCCATGCAAATGTAATCAGGGCAGGACCCACTCAAATTAGCAGGATGCAAAGTGGCCCAAGCCATTTTCTGCTGCAGGTTTGGTTTTCTCTCTCTCTCCCCCGCTGCCTTTTGCCACTGCCTCATCTCTGCCTGTAAAAGTCAATGTGGCTCCAACCACGTTGGGTGAGAAACATGAGGTCGGATCCAGGATGGTCAGTGAACAGGAGCAGGATTTTAAGAGGATATATGGCTTCTGCTGGATGGTTAGCTCAGGCAGCTAATTAGGGCTGGTGTTGGGGGGGGCGCGCAACAAGCCTAAATGCCGCCTGTGGAAGCAGGGAGGCTCCCTCCCCAAAATCCCCATGCTGTTTCTTTTTGACCCAGTTGGTTTTGGGGGGAGGTGTGGGAGGAAACAAACTGCAGGGCTGGAGGTTAGCTGCTGGCAACATTCCTGAGGACTTGATGGTGGGTAAGGGCCCGTGGATCTGATACATCACTCCAGCTTGGAAGGGCTTAGGAGCCCATTGGTCCCACAGACGTGGCTGACTCGCCCCTCAATATCACCAGGACCCAGAGACCAGCCCTGATATGGGGCCCAGCAGGTGTGAAGCCAGTCTGGCTGCCCCCTGGGCAGAGCATCTTCCAGCACGTGGTTCAATTTGAGTGGTGCCCAGTTGGATGCAGGGTCATTGCTGAACGTTTCTACAGCCTTGGCATACAAGGGCAAGCCACATCGGTAAGCTGCTTCCTGACATAAGAATCTGCATGAGCTCTCCTTGACATTTTGTCATTTTTGATACAGCTGTGGTGCTGTGCCGGCTGTCAGACCCCATCAGTACCCTGTGCCTGTTCCCTTTGGTCTCCTGCCTTCCCCAACAGCCCTGAAGCTTTCCCCATTCCAGGTGTTGGGACACGCATGGTCTGTGACCATGTTATTACAACCACGGATTTTAAAGCAGATGTATAAGTGAGGTAGATAAAACAAGCACATGGGTCCCTTAATCCCAAAATTTCAAGTACCGTGGGGATTAGACTAATATCTTTGGGTGCAGGATTTGGGGATGCAGCAGAGCCAGAGAAGTGAATCTGTGGATGCAAGTTGATCCCCTCCTCTCAGTGTGCTGTGAGACAGACTCAGTGTAAGGGATCAGCTTTGGAAACTAGGTTGAAGCCAGTAAGGGATGCAGCATTTTAACCTTTAACATAACTTGTGACATTTTGCCTTAACACACATTGGATCCCATGTGGTTGTGAAGCCCCTGAAAGCTTCCTGAAAGCCTTCTGAAAGCTCTCTAGCCCTGGTGCAGTATTTAATTGCAGGCATGCAGATCCTAGCAGCTGCCTTCTTTGGGGACATCACTGTTTGCAAGTTGAAAGAGAAATGCCTCACTTAAATTTCCCAGTGTTTGGTTAAGCATCCAGCCTCGGTGATAGGATTGAAGCTGAGCTTTGAATGATGTCTTTTGCTAGGAAGAAAGGGCTGGGGAAGAGACATTTCTCCCTTGGGCTTAAGATCATAAATAAGACAGTGTTATGTAAGTGTGACTACAACCTATTTATACATAGTGTCAGACTCATACAATCAGGCTATGAATGACAAATCTCCCACTAATTTCTATGAATATAACAGTGGTACCTATTTGAGTTTTGAAACAGCAGTGGAAATGCGTGTTGTTCTGTGTCAGCAGTAACTGGGACTCCCCTCCAAATTATACCGAGGGAGGGGTGACTTGTGTCTGGCACTTCTTATACAGGCACAGCAGGTGGAATTGCCTTCAGGCAGCTGCCTTGCACCCATTCCTGATCCCAAGGCCCAAATGGCTGGCACCAGGGGAATGGAAACCTGCTGCCTTTCCTGGGCTTTTGTCCCTCAAGCAGTGGGTCAGGTGGGAACTGGGCTCCTCGGAGGGTCTTTCAACAGGACTGTGCCCTGTTATGACACATGGAGATGCTGAGGTGTCAGGGCACGGGAACCAAAAGTGTCAGCTAGCAAGGTCAAACCAACATGAGGAGCACTGTCTCGCATGCAGTGTTAACCAGGGGAACGCCTCACTGCAGGACCCTGTGCGTGCTCAGAGTTTACAGGGATTCAAAACCAAAAGGATAAATTCCTGGAAGCAAAGCTCATCAGGAGTTACTAAACACAGGGAGATTGCTGAGCCAGAAATGTTCAAGGCTAGAAGTGTGGCTGGAGTCCTTATGGCATACACTTGCCCCTGTTCCGCATATTTGTCCCTAATATTGGTGCTGCTCAGTGTAAAGCTGCTGAGCAGAGTGGTTTGAACCAAAATGGCCACACTTAGGCTAATGCAGCCTTAGCTGTGTGGGTCTAACTTGGTTGGCACGGCCTGATGCCTGCCTGGGATCAAGATAATGGCAACCGTATATAAAAAAATCAAAGGAAGATTCAAACCCAGAAATTACTTCTAAGGCACAGAGAAGCAGTCATCGTAATTGCAACCAGACAAAACCCTAAATCATGTTCAAGTTTAAAGCCAGGCTTTTTCCTTCTCCATCGCCTCCTAGTCTGGGCTCTGCCTTGAGCACTGTCTCAGCATGGCAAACAACTGCACATCACTGCTTCTCCCAGGGTCCCTCTCGTGGCCCCTGTGCCAGCAGCCATGGACTCTGGAGACCTGACCATCACAGCCATCCATGGGAGGCCGTGGCAAGAGGAGAAAGTCTGAAATCCCTGTGGGGCTCCTTTGTGCCTCCGGCTAATCTTCCTTCCCTGCTTCACAGATTAACTCAGCTCCCGCTGCGGCCTGATCACACAAATCCGGAGGGGACGTATGGCCCTGGCTTGTCATGCCCTGCTGTCCCCCCCCAGAGATGAAGCAGACATAGGGTCAAGTGCGGATGGCCCAGGGGGTCAGAAGCGACCGCAGCTGCCGTGATGTTTTCCTAGACACCCCCAGCAGAGCCCTGTGACTGATTCACCTCCTGTCTTGGTGCATCAGGCATTGACTCACACCCAAAATGCGTCAGATGGTTGTATCCGTGAAGGGCTTCATGGACTTTGCCCCAGGTGTCCCCACTGAACTTTGAAGCCTGGCTTTCTTTCGGAGGGGGGTAGGCAGATGGGAGACCTTCGCCGGCGATGGTCTGGGCCTCCACAGGAACATGAAACCAGGCTGGACAATTCTCCCAGCCTCCTGCAAGTTGCTTCTCAGTGATTTCCTGTGCCAACATGAGGTCTCTCTCGCAAAAAAAGACCTGATCTGAGAGAGGCCTGATCCTGCTGCCTTTGCAGTTATGACAAAGCCCTTGGTAGCTCCAGCAGGGACAGAGGGAAGCAGCAGAGACCTCAGGCTTTCAGGCTGCTGCCAAACAGATGCTCTCACGGCTGAAATCAACTTCTGCAGCAGTTGGCATGCAGACGCAT